TTCATTAGAGACTAGAGAAGTTCACCCAGGAAAGGTCCAGCAGGGCAATGGTCTGGCAAGTGATTTAGGAAAGTTCACAGGTATGTGATTGCTGAAACTTGGGAGAACGTGTCTGCAATGGTTCTGTCCCATCTCCACAGTCTTCTCTTGAGTATCAGCTACAGGACAGTGTCAAAGATGCTGGGCTACATGTTATTTTGGTATAACTATGATTGTAGTAAATCCAGGAATGTGATTTTTTTTTTTAAATGAGATTTTCAGCCAGCTTTCTGACTCGAAATATTCAGAATATAATGGTTTTAAAATCCCAGAATCAGGCACTTATATTGTCTGAGTTTGTAGTTGCTAATCATTTCCCCTACAAATGCAAAATATCCCAAGTGGTGTTTTGTTGCTAACATTTGAGGGAAAGTCTGTAGTGCTGCTATCAGTGGTTCATCTCTCAGTCATGGTGTTCTGCACTGGTAAAATAGGCATCTTAAGAGAGCTCTTCCAAAAGTGTCAAAGAGTAGCTTAGAGGGAAAAAAATAGCAGGATCAGCTCCCTGGATCATGAGTCAAAGTCCTGTTTTTAGAAGTCTTGATGCTGCAGTAAATACATTGTGCTCTGATTCCCAAATGCTTTGGAGACTTTGAAGGTGAGACTCAGATTTCTCAGGGGCTTAAGTGTTGCTGAAGATGCTGACATGGAAGGAAAGTGTCAGCAGGAAGGAAGAGAAGAACCTGGGAGGAAGTGAACAGACTGACTGTTCTTGGCATTGGCTCTCTGTAGGGTTTCCTTTTCTGTGTCTTCCTGCTGGTGGTTTTGGTTTCAGGTCCCCTCAGCAGACCTTTCCCCCTCCGTGGTGTCCAGGCAGGACACTGTCACAAGAGCTTCTTTAGGCCAGATGCTGTGGGGAGCTCTGCTCCACACCAGGGTGAAAACACCAGTGAAGCTGGTTTGGAAAGTTCATCAGATAAATGAAATGAGAAACTGAAAACATTTGTTTATTTATTAAATGAATCATTCTTCTTTATCAGCTGTGATATTTCCTACCCTTTGATACTGATCTAGAGGATCTCACCCGGGTACAGAGCACAGGTTTGATTAGGTGAGGGCAGCGGGCCAAAAAGCTAGAGGTCTTATGCAAATTCAGATCTGCATTAATTTGCATAATGCTTCTGATCTGTGGATCTAGCTATGTATTTATGCATATATACATCCATTATCTGTCTCCTTTGAAAGATACTTCTCCTTTCCCAGCCTCTCCCTGAGCTGACTCTTCCTCTGTTCCTCTTTGTCCTGGGTGATGCTTGACCACTCTGAATCCAGGCCCTCACCTCCCTGGAAACATAGATTTGTCACTGTGGTCTAAATTCTGTATAAGCAGTTCTGATTCTCGTGCTGGGTGTCATCTGAGCTATTTATTTCTAATTCAGAGCTGTGGGAAATGAGTGATTTCTGGAGGATTGTCTTTGGCAAAGGTAATCACAGGGCAGCCCTTTGTGATGGGCATTACAGGGAATGGCTTGAGGACATTTATTTGCTTTCTCCTAGTTTTTCATCCTCTTTTTGAGGATGAGGGTTGGAGCAGCCATGTGGAATAACCACCTGAGCTCTGCTTAGGTGAGAATCTTTTTCCATCCTTTTGTGAGTCTGGATTCTGAAGGTTTGTTGAAGTCTCCCGCCATGGGATCATCAGGAGGATTTTGAGACTCAGCTCTCCTGTAAGCAGTGGATGATGTACTGTAGGAATCACACTTGGGGGCGAAGCCAAGCTGAACCTTTTGTCAGATAAGTAGCCTAGGGAATGGATTTGGCTTTCCATACACCAGTTTAAAGGACTGGAACCCTGCCCCTGCTGCCTTGAGGCTGCCATCCTCAGGGAGACAGTCTGGTCCTGAATGGTCAGTTGTAGCTGATTTTGTGTAAAAGGTTATGAAAGAAGACACACTGTTTATTCTAGGGAAAAAAAAATCCTTTTTATTATGAGTAGAGTAATAGAGCAAGTGAGCTTTGTATTTGTGCTCAATCAGTTTAAAGTTTTTAAAGGTTTAAAGGTTTTTAAAATGGGTTTTCAAAATAGGTTTAGTTGGGGCTTGAAGTAGATTCACTTGTTTGAGCGAAGGGATTTTATCCCATAAATTACTTTTTTCATGTGTCCAGAGTTAGGCCCTGGAGTGCAGGTCTCCAGCAGGTGTAAAGTGTCAACCAGGGTGGCAACAATCAAAGCTCCTGAGAATCCACCCTCAGTTTTTTCAAAACACTCAACAGCCATGTTTGACATGTAGAACCACCAAAACTGGATCTAGAAGAGCTTTATTGAAAACCTGGCTACTTATTTTGGTGCTTGTGTGGAACTTAATCTCTAGAAAATCTGGTCCAAAATTCAATGCACTGTTGATGTTTACAGGTTCAGTTGGGTAACTTTATCTGACTTGAGTGAAATTGCACAATAAAAGAAAGGAAAAGCCGCTTTGGCAGCTGTTTCTTTTGTGAGCTTTGAAAAAAATCAGAAACATGAAGGAATTATTTCTACAGATCTACCAAAGCTTGAGCTTCTTGGAGTTGATGGAGTTCTCTCTTCTAGCTTCAGAACACCATTTCACCCTATTCACTAAATTGAGTTACTAATAAACTGATCATAAAGTGACTTCATTGGAAAGACAGTTTAGCAATAAATAATTCAATAAATATTTTCCAGGCATTGATGCCCAGTAGATTGCTTGGTATGGTGGATACTAAGCACCTTTTAAGAACTGTAGTAATAAAAAGTGCTCCAAAAAGCCTGACCTAGAAGAACTGAGGCCTGAGAAGAGAAAATATTAATCCTGCACTGTCAAACCAAGATCCACTGGAAGGCATGTAGTATGGAGATAGGGATATAGTAGTCCTAAATCCAGCTGTGCCCTTTCTTCAAGTCCTTCTCTTCAAAAATGCATATTAAAATAATTTTGAGTCAAGTAATTGAAAACAATTGGCAGAAATTCCTCATAGTAAAGCTTTTTAAAAGAGTTTCAATTGTAATAATTTTATTCCAGCATATGGATTTGGGGCTTGGTGGTAAATTGAGCTGTCTCTTTATGGAAGTGGTAAATCCACCAGCATTTGCTATCAAGAGCAGAAAAAAAATGTTTATAAATCATTGCATTTGTTTCAGATTATTCATTAGAGCTGGAAGGCAATTGTTCGAGTTATTTGTGATATTATAAACAAAGCTCTGGGAAGGCCTCGTACTTTGTAGCATAATTTGGGGGTTTGTACATGTACCAGCTGAGACTTTTTCCTCCAGTAAGTGTTCAGCTGATCTTCCAGAGAGGAGAATCCAGATCCCAGTGTGCTGTTTTGAAGGGAGCGGGTTTGAGTGGCACGAAGAGGGCAGCAGGGCGGGGAAGGCAGAGGAAGGCTCTAACTGGGATCACTTATTTATCTTTCCTTCTTGTGCAGCAGTAGGCAAGGAAAGTCTTCACTTCTCCTTTTCCTGTGCACTCCCAAGCTCTCTGATGGGGGTTATGAAAACATTCACTTCTGGAAAGGAGTGAGAACTGAGGGCAGGGGGGATTTTGATACAGAAAATTTGAGGCAATAGTGTTTAACATTTCCTGGTCAGTAAAAAAACAAGGACTGTCTACACACTTGCATTGTAGTTCAAGACAGAAGGAGCCTGCCTGGTTTCCCTGGGTACTGTAATTACCCTGGAGCTTTTTTTCTCTGTGAGAAAGAGCTCTGATTTGTGTCACATGAAGTGCAGGCAGCACCCCAGCACAAATAACAGGCAAGGGGCTGGAACTCACTGACGTTCCTGCATTAGTTGCTGGCGGACTTTTTGCAGCCTTTCAGAGCTTCCTGGCCCTGCCTGCAAAAGTACCAGCAAACCAGCTTGGTTTTACCTTAGTGTGTTGTGGCCAGTCCTGGAGGAATTAATTTCTGCTGTAGCTGTGCCAGCTCTTTTGAGGTTTTGGGTGTTGTGGATCATTTACCTTTGTTGTGGGTTTTTTGCCCCCTCCAAAAAACAAAACGAAAGCAAAACACACACCAGCTCAATTGCTGGCATGTTGGCGCATACTGTGAAATAACTAATTGGCTGAAGAGTCCTCATTAAAAAAAAAAAAAAGGAAAACATAGAATTTTCAAGTGGCAAGTTGCTCTTATCAAAAAAAAAAACCAAAACAAAAACCAAACCAAAAAACCAAACAAAACCAAACAAATGAACAAACAAGAAAAAACAAATGAACAAAAAACCCCCAGAAAACAAATATGATTCACTGTTATGAGCAAAACAGGAGAGTTGCAAGGTTGAATGTGGGTCAGGTATCTCTTAGTGGCAGTGGTTTTCCAATGCTGGAACACGTCTCTGTTCAACACACCACCATAAAAACTGTTATGCCAAAGAGAAGTGATGGGGGATAGGCAGAAACCCTCAAAACAGCCAGTAGCTAATGCTGCCTTTGTGGTTTTATATATTTGCCTATTAAAAGGACAATACAGACATGGAACATTTAGATTTAAGAAGCCTTCTTTTCATTAAACAACATTAAACAAACTGACAAAGTAGGGGGTTATGACTCCAGTAATTGAAACATGCTGTTCTCTTCAAGACCAGGACTCTATAAAGACTCTTTTCACCCAGTAATGCCCTTTGTGTTTGCCTGCTACCCCTGCTAAAAATTACTGTAGTCCTGAAGTATGTCTTTCCAAGTGGAGTGGGAATGACAGAGTGCAACACCACACTTGGCAGATGGGGTCACAGCCTTTTTAGGACCTTAATGTTCATTGTGCATTGGAAATCAATTTGCAGCTCGGAATACATGGAGATGTAGCTGGACTCCTCTCTCCACTGTTTGATTTTTTATGTTAACTTTAAGCCTGGGATGCAGGAAAAATAATTAGGTGGGATAATTTGGATTAAGTGATGGCATTTGGGTAGTTTCCATTAGCCTTTTTATGGCTTCCTTGCTCCTCCAGGTGTATATTCTGAATCTGCAGGTTATCTTGAGTTTCTTTTTCCTTCTCTCTTCTAGATGTTGACGAGTGTCTGGATAACAATGGAGGGTGCCAGCAGATCTGTGTAAATACCATGGGCAGCTATGAATGTCAGTGCAAAGAAGGCTTTTTTCTGAGTGATAACCAGCACACCTGCATCCATCGCTCCATTGGTAAGTTCTTGGCGTGTAAACTCTGTGTTCAGTCAGAAATGCTAAAACAGTTTGAGTTCTGTTGGTTTGGTTCTGTTTTTTTTAATCCCCAGAGCTCCCAAAATCGTTTTCCTGGTTGGTTGGATTGATTGATTCCTCTGCTACTCGGGCTTGTAGCAGAGCCATAAATAAGACGATGGAAAAGGCTTTAGTTTGACACAGAAATTATGCTTGATTTGCACAGCAGACTCTTTGGGCAGGCAGAGACTGATGTTCAGATTTCCAGGAGTTAAAAATCTTTTGTCTGTTTGCGTAGCAGTTCACCTGTCTTTCAGCTGGGAAAGCATGGCATCCTAAATCCAAATGAAGCTTCTGGAAATGATAAAGGTTATGTGGGTATTTTTGCCAGTTGTGTAACTCGTTGCTTCATTGCAGACAGGTCATGGCTGATCTTGTATTGACACAGCACTTTTCTTTGGTTCACTACCCTGGCCTAGGGTGGGTTAGAAAACTGTTTCTCTGTTGCCTGTGCACTAGTGGGAGAAATAAGGAATCCCTGCAAAACTGGGATCCTTGTCTGCTGCTGGTTTTGACCAGAACAAGCAGCTCTCCCTTTTCTATAGATGTCAGACATGGAAGACAAGTTTGAGTGGAAAGGGAGAAAAGAAAACAACATAGCTATAAATCTTTGCAATTAAGTGGACTCCTTCTGTGTTCATTCAGACTTCTGTGACCCTGGCAGCAATGGGAATATATTCCAGCAAACTCATTTCCCAGTAGGCAATACAGGATGACAAAGTAGCGAGATGAGACTGGTGATCAACAATGTAAGCATGCTGTAAATTCCAGCAAGCCACACAAACGGTTCTGAGCTGTTTCAAGGGACTAAAATGAACCAGAAAACCCTACTTGAACACAGGGTATGAATTTAGTCACTCTGTTGACAAGAAATCTCAGAAATGTAAATGTATTTCTGGCACTGCGTGTCTGCTTGCACAGAATTGCAAGGACAGGTAGTAATCTGGATGTTCAGAATTGTGAATCCCTGGGATACACTCACAAGTCCACTTTTTAGCGTGATTATTAAGTTTTAAGCAATTGAGGTGTTTTGCTTATGAAAAGAATATGCATCAACCAGTGCATTTTAAGGGTTGTTATCTAATAGGTTTTTAGTCATTCTTTTCAACATAAATTTCTGTCCAGTGTAAAGTAACCCCGACACAAAGATAGCCAACAAAGCAAGGAATAGTAGCTGGGGGCTTAATGAAAACCAGTTGAAGAGTATCGTGATACAATCATTATTTCAATTTGCACATTATAAAAATTCCCAGCTGTAGTAAAAAAGAATTTCGTTATCTGAGATGGAAACTAATTAAATAAATGAAAAATGAGACTCTAAAGGCAAAAGTTTATTCTTTATTGAGGGAAAAGGGTAAGTTTTTATGGCAAGGAGGATTCCTGGTTTGCCCCAGGGACTGGGAGAGTGGATTTGAAGGCTGACTGCTGTATGCACATAATAAATATGCATGGGAAAATATATTTGTGCTAACTCGTTTACGAAGAAAATGTCATGTAAGGCATGGATGTTTAATTTGAAGCAACACCTTAAAGTTATTTTAGATCTGAAAAAAAAAAAACCCGAGCAAACTACCAAACAGACTAGTGGGGATTGCAAAGTGTTTTATGAACAAATGGCTTGTAGCTTTTCAGAAGTAAAGTGTCAATTTACAGTGACAGCAAACATTGCACTGTAGTGATCCCCCCCAGCAATACATCAGGTGGGTGTGCTGGAGGCAGGAACTGAGATGAAATGATCTCCTTCACTTGTCAGAGGTGACTGAACTGCAAATAGTAAACAGACACAGTGAGAAAGCAAGTGGCTTTTTTCATATCTGTGTTTGCTTATTTTTGTATGTCTCACTTGTAAATGCTGCTGCAGAAGCTGTTGGAACACAAAAATACACATCAACATGTTTAGTTGTGCTTGTACCTCTGTTGGTAGACAAGGCTGGAGTGGACAAAGGCAGAGCACACAGCCAGCACTGCAGTCCACACACAAAGGCCTCGACCTGCCAAAACCCTTCAGCAAGTTTGAGGGAGGAACACATCCCTTTTTGCACTAACCAGGCAAAAGAATGGTGTCTTCTGATATGACGTGCCCTCCCTAAAATTGGTGGCTGCTGTGAGAATTTTCTCAGCCCCCAGAGACGCCCTGTGCCCCATGGGTTTTGGGGTGTCTTGTGGGGTGCTCCCACCCACAGCTGTGGTTAAAAGCCACGTTGGAGTTCATGATAGGACACTGTGGACAAAAAGGATTAATGATCCACAGAGAAATACTAATTTTATACCAGTGGCAGGCCAGGCTGACATTAAAGTCAGAGCAAACCCTGATGTCCCAGCTTTTGCTTTGTTTCCCTGTCTTTCTGCTGATTTCCTATGTTTAGTCTCAGTACCTTTGGGGAGGATGCTGTGCCCAATACAACTTGCCTCATTTATTTTTGCATAAAACTTAATTTCCCTTTGCTGAGTCAGAGTTTGCTCACAGTAATGATGGCAACACCAGGGAGAGAGACTGGGAGGTTGAATAGATTGTGAAAGATATGGAGAATTTAACAGTTGTTTATCTTTGTACATCTTAATTGCAATACTAGGTGTGAACACTGTGAATTATACCAGAGACAGGGTTGTGTTTTCCATGTGACTTAGAAAGAAAGCAGAATAAAACAGCTGTTACTGTATCATCTCCAGCTCCAGAGGGAGCATGTGTTTAATAAATGTGGAGATTAGGATCCTGCGCTACAGCTGTGACTGAGTCAGGTGAGTGGGTTATGGCACATTTTCCCTTAATTTGATGATAAGCCAAAAGCCCTAATTCAGCAAAGCCTCAGGGCACATCCTTAACGTCCTGATGTTAGCAAAGTTGGTTAAAAATCTGAATTGGGCCTAAGGAGTAGCAAAATAGACAGAGTTTAGCTCTATGTCTGTATCTCCACTGAGGTTCAGAGTGATCACATCCTTCTGGAGTTCTGTGGCTGGGAAGACCTCTGTCACTTCACATTCCATGCCCTGAATGTCCACCTCAAGCATAAGGTATATTATGTCTGCTCATCGTTCACTGTCAGTGTTTTTATACAGCTGGTACCAAACTGGACAGGAAGGTGCAATTCTGAGTGGTGAGAAGAGGTGGAGAAGTGCTGGGTTGTAAGGCTCAAATTAAGGTGGACTCATCCAGTGGTGGAAAAGCCCTTTACACAGTTGTCACTGTCGTTTTCAAGCCTGTTAAAGACCCATTTGGCAAGGAAATGCTTTTTCACTTTCCCTTATCCCATTAGCCCTCTGTTCTTAGCAGAGTTAGGGAATTTGACATACAGTCGAATTTTACCACAACTTAGCAAATTACTGTGCTGCAAACAGAGTCTCAAAACCAGCTTGTCTCTTTTCTGCCACTAAAAGTGTGTCAGTGTAATCCCAGAGGAAAGGGGAACATGCTAAACCACATTGCCTGGCATTTGTCATGGGCTAAGGGGCATTATGAAGTAGGTTACCTTGCTTGTGCTGATGCACAGAGGCTTGTTAAACTTGATTATGTGTTAAACCCTTGTTAATTTTACAGTAGTGGCACACGAATCCTTTGGTCAGCTGACCTCAAACTACAGGGTTTCTTCTGGTCCTGAGGATTATAAAGCCACCTTTGTTCAATTTTTTTCCTGCCTATTTTCCATGATTTATTTTTATTCTTTACCTGTCTTAGTGCAGTGTGATTTTTTGGTGGCACAATAATGTGTTAGGACTCGCTGGGAGGAATCATGGTCCCCAGTCAGTGCAGGAAGGGTTAGAGCTGGGATTCTGGGATTCTTTATTCCCATCTCTGGTGCTGATCCCCTGGGAGACTCTGGGCAAGGTGGTTATTGTGACTCAGAACTTCTGCAAAGCACTTTAGAGGACAGAGGTGTATTTTCTACAGAAAACATAATAATCTATTCACATTTAGATCCATGTGGAAGGGTGACTTTAAATAATTAAGTGTTGCCAGCACTATTCCAGACTTTATGAAGTACAAGGTTTCTCATCTCAGCTATGAAAGCTCTTTCATAATGATGTAACCAGTTGAATTACTCCATTACTTGAACATACATCACCATAGGTACCCTGAGTACAGGCATCCCACAGAAAAATCCTATTTGTCTTTTCTAATTGGAGTCCTAATGTGATTGTAAAGGAGAGGAATATATGTAAAGCAAATTTTAAGGAAATCAATCCACGTGCTTTTAGATAATATAACAAGAAAACCTTTCAGGCTGCATAAGTTTTATCTGGACAAACATACTGTGATCTTGGAAGCTTTTTCCTAAACCTACACACAGTATGACCTAAGTGTAATAGAAACTTGTCTGTTTATACATTCCCATAGTACATTTAGAATAAAAAGTTCAATTTATTATCTTTCACAGAATATATGATACATACATATATATATATGCACACTATTTTAAGTCTCACTGTGCCCTGTTAGAAATGTATAACCTTTTAAAACTCTGTATAACCCACAAAAATTGCTGTACTTCAGTTTCTGGGATTCTTACTCACTCCAGCAGCCTGTGTGAAGACACCTCAGTTATCTTTCTTCGTTCCTCTGGAATGGGAGGAGGTTTTAATTTGCCTGGAGGGAAGATGCAACAGATGAAAATACCTCATTTAAGTAAAAAGTAATTTCTGTTCGACCTGAGCTCCCTCCCCTTGTTTGTGAATGACTTACCAAGACTAGGACTAGTAAAGTTACACTGGTGCAGTGTCATCTGACTTGGGTTCAGCTGTGAGGGGAAGCAGTAATGATCATAGAATCATAACAACATTATTAGTTTAGGGCTAGATATGAGATCAAATAGTCTGATGGAGTCATAGAACAGCCCAGGTTGGAAAGGACCTCCAACCTTCTGTGGGAAAGGGAGCCTAGGTGAGAATATCAAGTGCTCTGTCCGGTCACATCTTGAAAACCACCATCATTGGGGACCCTACTATGT